TCTGGTTGAACTGTAAAGAGCCTTGAGATGAAATGTGTTGTGAATTGGCGCTTTATAAATAAACTGAATTGAATTAAGAAATGTGACGGTTAGACCCCGTGTCCTGGGTTCAACTCCTGATGAACGACTCTTCTTGTTTCACAATCCTGTACAAGCTGATGTTTTTTATATTGCAAGCGCAACCTGTTGCACCAACGTTTCTCCTTCCACTTAACTTTCCATTAAAAAGTTTGTATACGGCCGTCTTGAACAGTTTGCCTTCATATTATTGACATTTTTTGGCCGGTGTTTATAAAAAAAAAACAGAAAAGAAAAACTTTTAAACATTTTTAAACGGTCCAACATAGAGTTGAATATTATTAAAAAGTAAATTTATAGTTTTAGCTCAGCTCTAAACCATAATCAACATTACCACACAATAAGCAAGTGTCTATAAAGATGTGTCCTGTTTCTTTAAATGTATAAATTCAATTTTCCAGTTGAGAGGCACCAGTTCTCATGTTTTATTTGTTAATCCTACTGTTAGACTCACAATATAGAACTTGTGAAGTTTATATGTCGCCAAAACGATCCACTTACCTCAAAGTTGGTGTTGTTGTCATATGGGTGTTTGGACTCTCTGACCTGTACAGCCATTCCCGGCTCTTCCATGAACTGGCAAGCGGTGAGAGACAGACTGGACAGCATGCTCTGGCTGCAGCCCTTCAGCACCCTCTGCAGAATCTGACCAATGACAGAAATAACCCATCAAAATGATGTTTATAACCATCTTGCATCAAACTGGAGCTTCAAACTCCTCTTCGTTTCTTCCGTCACCTTCTCCCAGAGGGGTCTCTCCTCCAGCTGCATCAGCATGTCCAAGATGTAAGCCATGTGCGAGGCCCCGTTCAGCTCCAGCGCCTCCTCGCTCAGCGGCGCCTCCGCGGGCCAGTCGGCCAACAGCAAGGCCAGGACGTGGCGAGCGTAAAGCGTGGCGATGGCTTGGTTGACCTTCACCAGGTATTGACGAACTGCCCGGTTGCTGCGGACGTCCAGCTCCTTGTGAAGGAGAGCGGAGCTTTTGGAGCGCCTCTGTTTGGCGTAGCTGAGCTGCAAGTCGCTCTCTGAATTGGTGATGAGCTTTTGGGCCACAACATTGATTTCCTCTGTGGCCTTTTCACAGTGGCTGGGTTTAGACTGGGCGAGTGGATAAGGACACAGGAGAAAAGAGATTTGAAATAATATATTTTGGGGAAAAACAAACAAAAACAAGTTTCAGTCTCCTTACCATGCAGGAAATCACTATCATGTCAGTGTCCACAGCTTTGGTGTTTCTCTCCTCACAGCGAGGCCTCCTGGAAGGCTGCCATTTCTGAGCCAGAGTCCTGATGCTCTCATCCGTTTTGATCTCTTCTCCATCAAACCTGAAAATAAACACATGACTATGAGTTGAATTCTGATCCCTTATTTTCGAAAGTTAAAATTTGAAAGAAAAAAAAAACAATGTTATTGGAATCCAGCAATGACTTTACACTGACGTTAGTAAACACATTTCATTGGTCAATATTTGCATCAAGAGCGAGTGTTTGCATTGAGTTTGGAGTGAAGAGAATTTGATCTGCGAAAAACGAATTAACAAAAAAAAAAAAAGAAGACACATATATGTATATATATATATATATATATATATATATACAAACACATACATATATATATGTATGTGTAATCTGTCCTTCTGTGATAGCAGATTGATTTTATTTAGGTGTATTTCAGTAAATATTTGAGTTTTAAATGAACCACAGAGGTTAAATATCTGAATGATGCTGACCTCTTCTGCACCTCCAGGAAGAAGGAGTCCGTCCTCTTCATCTGCAGCTCATACATGGCTCGCAGAATCGGCAGGGGAGCATTTAAGGCATCATGGGTGATCTGGATTAAAAAAATAAACAAACCAAATGCTCAGATGGGGACGTTCTCAGTCACTTTACTCTGCTACAAGTCTTTCCACAAGGAGTCGCTAATCACCAGGAAGCAAATCTTCGTCTCCTCATCGAGACCTTCCAATGGGTCGGGCTTGTTGGCGTCGACCTCATCTACGCCGCCGCAGGAGTGGTCTGAGTCGTGCTCCTTGTCCTGCTCCCTTTGGTCCCGCTCGGGGTCCTGAGCCATGGAGTGAATCTCCCTTTTGGAGGAGTACAGCATGATGGAGAGGATCTCCAGGTCTCGCAGCAGCCACAGCTTGCTGAAGCCCGTCCCTTTGCTGCACTTCCTGACGAGCAGCTGGGTCAGCCCGGACTGCTGGATGGCCTCGTGTGCGTGCTCCACGCCATGCTTCTACACAGGACAGCAAAGTGCACCAAGATGAATGTTATATTCAGGCAGCAGAGATAAGACTGGCTATGGATCCTTGGGGGTAGCTACCTTCAGTGTGTTGTAAAGACCTTTGAGGGCCAGAGAAAGCACCCAGGAAGCCTCCACAGCATCAGGAAAGCCGTTATCCTGGTTCGCTTGTAATAAATGACCAATTATGGAGGTGAAATTGGTCAGGTAGCGACTCAGAAGAGTCTTTTGGCAGCTTTGACTCCCTGTCTGAGCTGGGAGACTGGCTGTCGTTGAATCCTGGGACTGGATAAGCTGGTAATCCTTCACTGTAAATGAAGACCCACACAGATTACCAACATGTTTAATCTGAACACAAATAACAGTCAACTGTTAATACCGGACTAACCGGTTTTCCTCTTGCGTGTCTTAACGTCTACCACTGCAGCATGGTTCTTCTCTGTGAAGTGTTTCAGCAGGATCATGTTGTGCTGCTCGTTGGCGTTGTCGATGAACACCGTCTGGGTGCCCACACAGAGGACCTGAAAAGGAAAACTATGGCTTAGCGTCGCTCTGCGGCACAGTGGCGCCTTCAGGGAAGCTGAACACATACCTCAGGGAAGCCCACCAGCACCAGCAGGGTGAAAAGGTTGGTCCGTTTTAGAGTCTGGGGAAGCTGCTGGATGCAGTGGTCAGTGAAGGCAGCGATGACCGTGCTCCAATCAGGACAGGTGTTAAGAGTGTGTAAGATGTCTGCCACCGTGCACGCCCAATCCAGACCGATACGGCTGCAAAACAAGAGCTTCAGTGGTTCTGCAGAGAGCCGCTGCAGGACACCTCAGTACACCATGAGGTCCAGCTAAGGTCTGCGAACGACTCTAATGGCATTCTAGCATGCTGGGTCCAGCAAATCTCACACAGACTAACTGAAAGGAAAAGTCCGGTCATATTCAGAAT